CACACACCATATTCATCAGATATGGTACCATCAGATTACCATCTTTTTCGTTCGTTACAATTCCATCTTAATGGGAAAACGTATACAAATGTGGAAGGAGTTAAAGAGGACATCGACATGTTTTTTGCTTCGAAGTCAAGTGATTTCTTTAATCAGGGCATTAACAGCCTGACTGTAAAATGGAAAAGCATCATCGATAAGAATGGAGACTATTTCATTTAATAAATGTTTTGTTTTGATATATAAATTGTTCGGGTTTTTTCATCTAAAAAAAAGCGACATTAATTTCTTGACTACCTAATATTTTTTAACTTACTTGATTACAATACTTCAAACAAATGGATTTTTAACTTACTGATCACACGATTCTGGGTCAGTCGTTTTTATATACGTAAAAAAAAAGATGTGGGAAAAACTAGTGTGTTTTTTTTTCCAAGTACTGGAACTGCAGACCTTGAATTAATCATAAATATCGGTAGTCATTTAGGTTTTCCAGGTAAAAATATGTATGAGAATCAAGAAAAGTACGAAGTCATCCATTAATACTACTTTTTTGAAAATATCTAATTTGTCTGGAAGTTGAGCAAAACGTAAATAACATCTGGAGAGAAGTTTTATTAATTCCATAGTTGTGATTTTTGTATGTTATATTTTTAATATTTCAACTTGGATATTTCATTGCTAGAAGGACTTTTTCATTGCCGTCATGATGATGCTATATCTAGAAATTCAATAAATGTAGAAAAACCTGTAGAATCTTGAAGTTTTGTATAGTACTTAGAATAACAGTGACATAAAAATTACTTAGTTAATCATTGAATTAATGGGTTATTCAGTTAGTGAGAAATATTGCGTCTGTCAGTTAGTAAGCGTGTTTATTGTTCGATCGATTAGCGAAGAAATATTACAAGTAAGTTTATTTGTAAGTTCGGCGTACATTAATTTCGGAATTCCTGAGTAAATGTTGTTTGTGAAGTTAGACCTACCAGTGAATGTAGCCTGTAGCAAACGTTATTGAAGAAATAAATTAATTCATTATCGTTTCGTGGACTGGATTTCTCAATATCTTTACCAAATAAACCCAAAAATTCACGTTCAACTATTGAACAAGTTGCAACGTTATTATTCCTAGACCTTATAACTAGTGTAACCGTACCGGAAAGAGGCCCTTAACCTATGGAAAGTTGGTTTACAAGAAAATGACTTGAAAAAATGAGGGGGGAGGGGTCACTAAACATCGTTTGTGATAATTACATTATTTTTGTAAGGTAGAATGTAAGGTAGAATAGTTAAAACTAAGTTTGCTATTGTTTTAATGTTTTTAACACAATGTAAATAGCACCTTCTTTGCATTTTCCTAGTGTCAAAATTTTAACTGGTTCTTTGATAATTTACCCCTCCTAATCCCCAATTCCTACTGTCAAAATTTTAACTGGTTCTTTGATAATTTACTCCTCCTAATCTCCAAATCCTGGGTTCATTACTCGATCCTTTACAAGCTATGCTTATATCTAATTGCTACCATCATAAGAGCAAGTTTATATTGAATCATGGGTAAAAGAAGTTGAAACAAAACATTTTTGGATATACCAATGTACACCACCTAGTGGTAAAAATGTTCTTCCACGAGTGTCCTCTACGGCAACCACCTCATTGTCTTCCTGAGTAACTACGTGATACTTGTTAATGCTAGATGGAAATCAATATCATTCAGAAACAATATAACTTGTGAAGTATTGAAAATTGCGATTATCCGAACAAGCCAGAGAGCAAGATATTTTTTGATGGAGTTTCTGTTACCATGACACTAAAAGTTAATTAAAAGTAATACTTGAAACTCCATAAAAATTCAGAAACAACTTGGAGAAGAACGTGTCACACTTTCTTTGTTACATTAAATGAACTTAGAAGAAATAATTATTTCTTTTTACCTTTAAAACAAAATTCCACTTTCTATCAACCGAAAGAAAATTATACTGTTTAGTTCAAAATTTAATACTCACCCTAAGCGAATTTTGTAATGTCCATAGAATATCCGAAGAGATGACAAGACAAAAATGTGAAGTTATTACCACCGAAACACACATCTCGTTACCCAACCTAGAGGGCACTAGCTTCACCTGGGTGACCTGTTGAAACGCTAGGTGCAATAAAGAGAAGGCCGAGAGTAAAGAGGGGAAGGCCAAGTCCCACAGAATATAAGTGATCACCTCAGGCATTATCTGGAATTGTAAATAATAAATATTCCTGAAAACCTGTACAATGTTTGTTTTGTTTTTTTATCTGGCGACGCATAATATCTATATTATAATACTGAACTGTACCCGCAAAGGCTTTGTCAATTTTGAAGGCATTTTTAGAACAGCATATAAATACCACATACTTAATAATTTTCTTTGACGTTGGGAACCAATGTGTCTTTAAAATGGCTTCACAAATATTGTTTGTTTGTTTGAAGTTAAGCACAAAGCGACACAATGGGCTCTGCCCACCACGGGTATCGAAACCCGGTTTCTAGCGTTGTAAGTCCGCAGAAATAAAGCTATGCCACTGGGGGCAGTTCACAAATACGTTTTCTTTTTTAAATTTATGGTTATAAAAAACTGAACATATGTTATTTGTTTGTTGTTTTCTTAACGCAAAGCTACATAATGTTCTATTTGTAATCTGTCCACCGCGAGGAATCGAATCCCGGATTTTAGTTATAAGCCCGCAAACTCATCGTTGACCCCACCGGGGGACAAAAGTTAAAGAATAAACGAGTTTTGAAGTATGTATATGCGTAAAAAAAACCGACAACGGTTTATTTTTTTGTGCATGTCAAATAAAGTAACTCCTTGAAACAGCTGAAGTGAAAACCTTGGCAAAATTATTTTGATGCTGAAACTTGACGCTATTTATGATATTAAAATCTTATACGAAAAAAATGAAGTGCGTACTATTATAATTATTATAAATTAAACACTTATTTTTTATTATGAAATGTAACAGGAGCGTCATTAGGGGAAAGCCAACAAGGAAACCCCCCTCAATCTCGGAGGAGGCTCCAAATGACAGTTCCTGTAAGACATTTCTGATCAGATCGGATTAACGTAAACACGTAAATTACGCCGTAGCGTAGGGTCCTCAGCTGAATTGGGGAACCCACGCGAGGTCAGACTTTTATGACCCCCCCCCCCCCAAGCCTTTACAATGTATTTCTTTTTGAGATTGTTCTACATGAAAAAAAAAACATAACTGGGTTATTTTGAAAAAAAAATTGTTTTCATAAAAATTATTTAATTCCAAATTTGTTCGATGGGGACTAGCAAAGCTTTACACAACAAATATATCTTTCTGTGACAGAACCCCATTACACAAATGAGCAGCATGAGCACGCTGCTTAATGAGCTTACAACGTATAAGAGAAAGAGTTAATTTCACTAGGCCTTTCGCTCCTACCTCTTTTGAACCGTAAGGATCGATAAAGAGCCCTAAAGCCCTCGAAGCTCCAAGGAGGCAGAGAAAGACGTTAAGAGTGGAGAGGTTGGGTCTCGCTAAGAGCTGGGCTCGTAGACTGAGAATAGCAAAGAACGCTACACAAGTCAGCACTAGAAACAGACAGGCTAAACCGTAGACGTGGAGTTGCCATGACCACTGAAAGTGTTCAGATACCTGCGACCATTCGGGGACCACTTGCAAATGGTCTCTCCACCAGTTGGACATACGGGAACTTTCCTGCTTCTTGGGGATCGTAGACTCGTTGGTTAGGAAGACGGGTTGATGACGGACATGCGAGATTGTATAGTTAATAATAGATTCCATTGGCAAACCAGGGCGCGGAATTCTGCGTTCGTTAAGTACCTTCCACGTGAACTAACTAGAAAATTAGAAATATTTATGATCAGCATGAAGTTCAATAAAAAACAAGTCTGAAGTGGATTAGGCAGTCCTGAAAAAAAATCCAAAAAAATAAAATGTATATCTAACATAACGCAATTACCGTTTTAAGTTTAGCTGATCAGTACAAAACATACTCGTCTTAAAACTTCATTAAAGTTTAAAATACGCCGTGTTCATGGTGACTTAAATTGTTAAAAAAGTTAATCTAAACAACTGAGCTCAAACCTTGAACGAGATTTACAGAAATCACAAAACATCCGAGCACTGGTCCGTAGGAGTATTTCAAAATCAACCCGGAACTCGAAATTAAATGTTATTAAAATAAAACAGATCTGTACTTCTTTGAAACCAACATGAGGCCAAATCATTTCCTATCCGCAATATTGCGGTCTTACAAAAACTGATAAAATATGTAAACACGTTGAAAAGTTTCCAACTACTTATTTTAAATCGTGTTATGACTGAATAATTTAAAATTCGGTAGATGCTTAACGATGTATTTTTTTTACCCCCAAATTTTTTATAGACACTTTTTGTTAATATTACATACATATATAGATATATAATTCATAGAGTAACTTCCAGATTTTTCTATGCAATAATTTCGTTTTGTTTTCCCTTTAAAATTGTAAGCTCTTTAAAGAACCGGTTTCGTAGGTTTGACTACTCTTCAGCTTCGAAACATTATCATTTAAAAATGAAGTTAAGAACATGAAATTTTTTTTATATAATATAAAAATTAAAAAACGTTTTAAAGCATTATTATTTTGTTAAGATAATTAAAAATATATAAAATCACAGTAAATTCTATAATGATTGATTAAACTTATAAAGACAAATAAAATAACTACATAATAATATAAACCGTGAAGAATTCTAATTTAATATTACAAGAGATTTACAATAAACTGTTAAAAGTTAAATATTATTAATTATACCACTAGTACATAATTAAATAAATCATTTTACTTCTTCGGTTATACATCGATAGGTTGTACATTAAGGTAATATTACTTTACTGAGCGCCCTCTGGAGTTTATTATTAACTCTTTTATTTGCATTTGTTAGTGAAACATTTTTCATGTTCTAATCTTATTCTGTTATTATACGAGCAAAAAAAAAAGGATGAACTTTACACAAAAAAAGGTTATTTTAAATTTTTGAATTATTTATTAAGGCAACTATTAGAATGAGTACTGGCTGGTATCGGGCTTCAATGATAGTTTCTCACATCTATGTAGATTTATTATAATTTTTAAAATTTCCTTTTTCATTCATATATAGTTCTTCAAATATTATACAAACTAAGAAATATAATATATTTTGAACCACAACACTCAAAGATAGAATTTATATAATATTAAATCTCCCTGAGAGAATCTACGATATACAGATTTTCCGTATATCCTTTATGGTATAACTGACAATTTACATTGTTACATTGCAAAAAAACCTCTTTTATTTGCATTTCTTTATAGTTTATAATTTATATACATTTTCGGATGTTTTTTGATAGGATTATTTTAAAATTATCGAATCCTTTCTATTGGTTTTCATCCACCACCACCTCCTCCAGTTGTTTTAATGTACTTGCTATCAATACTAACATGTTTATCACGTGTGCATACAAGATCAGTGATAGTTTTTTTTATTATTCTTCTTCCCTTGTATTTTGCTTAGCATTAGGCTTAACTTTTGTCGAATCACCTTTTAATTACTTTGTATAGCTAATGACACTTAAAAAAAAAACAAAAAAACATGTCAGTTCTTTGAGTTTAACTTCCCTTTCTCTTATAAAACTTAAGTATAAATCCTTTGGTCTACATACAAGATGTTTAGGGTGATGGCTAAAACATTTAAATACCCAAGTAAATTTGTAGGTTTCTAATAAATATTTGCAGTCAGTTTCCCATTTTATTCGACCTTAACTAGAACACTCAGAAAGGGTAAATTTTTTATTACTCATCTCAAACGTGACTTGTATATTTTTCACGTTATTTATAACGTTATTAAAACTTTTCTATTTCATAATGTTTATTCCAAATTAAAATCAAATCCAAAACATCCTCTCTATGATGCTTTAAAAAAATAACATTATCGGAAGTAAATATATCTAACAAACCATTACCAATGTTGTGTAAGTTGAGACAACCTTAAGTCCCACAGCTGTCACTTGTATCATTATTTTAAGGACACACATTTTATTGAATCTAGATACAAGAAAATTATCATAATGGTTTAAAATCGTGGTCGATAGTAGAATACAGTGATACTACATCCACAATAATTAAACTGTGATTTGGTTCTGTTTGTTTCAAAACATTTTCAGGAAACTTTCAATCACCTCTGACGTAACTGGCTATTTCCGATATAAAAGCCTTATGTCCAAAACAGCACTTAGCTGTTTCATAATTTTCTGCGTTCCACTTACTATTGGACGCCCTAAAATTTCTGGAGGATCTTTTATCTAAAACGTTTTTTTTGGGGGGGTTCCCTATTTCAGAATCTTTCTTATTTCCCCTGATCTGTGTATTTTTGGTAACACATAGAAGTGACGATCTTTTTTCACAAAAAACATACATTATCTCATTTACTGTGGAAAAGTTCTTAATGTCATTCGTTTACTTAATTATGTCTTCTTTTTGTAGTTTTTCTAATTGTTGCGAGTTGTCATTTACTTTATCCTAAATTGTTGGCTCTTTTAAATGGTTTAAAGTTTCATAAATTGTTGGCTCTTTTAAATGGTTTAAAGTTTCATAAATTGTTGGCTCTTTCAAATGGTTTAAAGTTTCATAAATTGTTGGATTTTTTAAATGGTTTAAAGTTTCATAGATTGTTGGCTCTTTTAAATGGTTTAAAGTTTCATAAGTTGTTGGCTCTTTTAAATGGTTTAAAGTTTCATAAATTGTTGGCTCTTTCAAATGGTTTAAAGTTTCATAAATTGTTGGCTCTTTCAAATGGTTTAAAGTTTCATAAATTGTTGGCTCTTTTA